GGGGGGGGGGGGGGGGGGGAGGAGTTCTTTTGTCCTGGAAACTCCCCAGCCGCAAATGAGGGGAAGCAGGCGAAAAGGCCCAGGGAGGAGGTGAGCAAAGGCAGACCCCTCCTGGGTTAGCTTGGCCCTTTCCCTGCAATCATCATCAGTGGTAGCAGCAAAGATGGCCCAGGAGGCCTGCAAAACCCTTGCCTGCTTGGTTCTCTTCAGCCCCTGAGCCAAAGAGAACCAAGGAAGCGAAGGCGGTTCTCTTTGGCCCCTGAGCCAGCCTGGGACCCCTCCCCCTGTGGCCACTTTCTTAATCTTGGGAGGGGTCCTGGGTTCACTGCTGGAGAGGCTGTCCTGCAGGCAGAAAGGCCCCAAAGTGTGGGTCCTCTATTTTTCCCTACCAAGAAATGAGTTTTTAAGGGGTGGGCATGCAGCTTATCTCCAAGGGAGAAAAGGCCATTAGTTCTGCGCTGTGGGAGAAATTCTGTGCAAACCAGAGGTCAGTGTGAGAAGCACCAGCCAAGTTCTGTGGCATCTGCAGCTTCCTGTGCTGCAAAAATGTCTACTTTGCTCTTATCCTTCAGTGTCTCCTCCCAAAAGGGGTGTGATTACAGGGTCACCCACAGAATTTTTTACAACAAAATTCCAAAGGGCAAAGATTTCTGAATAAGAATGTTCTTCAATACCTTGGTTTACATATTCTGTTTTTCCTTAATTGTTTATTTCTTTTTCCCTTTAGCTTGGCAGCTGAAATCATCTTTCATAGTGAGTAAAGATTTTAGTTGTCTCAGAACAAAAGTCAGCCTTCCCCAAAGATGGCTCAAGGGGGCTCTTCTTGTCGTTCTGCTCCTATAAATGGAAGCTGCTTTGCAGATCTAGGAAAGTCACTGGATTTGTTTGGAACAGCATTTCAGCCCAGAGAAAAAACAAACTCGCAGTACACAGCAGGGGAAGGAGAAGGAAAAGTCCCCCATATCATTCTGGCTGGGACTCATGCGAAATTCTGGGAAAGGTCCAGGCAGAACATCCTGGAAGAAGAAACTACCAGTTGGGTTGTACAACATCACCCCTTCAAGAAGTTCTGCTATAAGGAAGTTGAGGGACCCCGAGAGCTTTGCAGCCAACTCCACCACCTTTACCGTCAATGGCTGAGGCCAGAGAAGCACACAAAAGCTCAGATGCTGGACCTGGTGGTCCTGGAGCAGTTCCTGGCCATCCTGCCC